TGGCGGCGCGGCTGCGCACGCGGCTGCAGGCATNGGGGAGGGTCCAAGGGAGGGGGGCGGGCGCGGTCGAGAGGGATCATCAGGGACGACCGGCCAGGGGGAAGCAGGCATTTCACTGCACGGCCCGCCAAGGCATGGCGAAGAGCATTGCCTGGCACGGCCCGCTCAGAGGGCTCGGGGCGCGGGGCGGGGGGACATGCGCGAGCAGCACACCTGCTGGGCAGCGGCGGCCGGCCCGTGTTACCGGCCGCGGCGCCGCCGGTCAGTGTGGGCGCCATGGCTGCAGCCAGCGTGCGGCGGGCCGCCAGCTTGGCGACGGCCATGTGCGGCGCGGGCGAGGTGGCTGTGTCTGCGGGGCAGGGAGCGTGTGGGGCAGGGGAGGTGAGGGAGCCATGAGGGAGAAGGCCACGCCTGCGGGTGGATAAGCGGGTGTGGTGGGGACGGAAGACCGGAGGCGCAACTGGGCAGGAGCACATGCTCAGCGTTGGGGGTTCAATCTGGGCGGCAGCAGAAGGCGGGGAGCCACCCACCGTGCATCTCGGGGTCGGCTGCCTCGCCTGCCACGTCAGACAGGTGCGAGGTGAGCGCTGAGGCCACCCTGGCGGCGGCAGGCACGGCGGGCGGTGCGCCCGGCGCCGCCACGGGGAAGGAGGCTGCGTCCGCCATGCTTTCTTCCAGCTGCGCCTGCTGCTCTGCCACCGTGGCCGCCGCCGCAAAGGTGGCCGCGGCCGCGGCGGCCGCCGGGTGCAGCTGGAAGGCCGCCGCCGCTGCCGGGTCGAATTCGGGCATGGGCGGCGGCGCAAACAGGGAGCCTGGCGGGAAGGCGGCCAGCAGGGAGGCGCTGGTGGCGGGTTGGAAGGCGGGGAGGGAGCCAGCAGAGTGCAGCGCCGGCTCCGGCATGGGCGGCAGCGCAAAGGAGAAGGGAGCGTGCGGCAGCGGCAGGCCGCGCGCCCCGCCCTCGCCGTCAGAGGCCTGCGAGCCGCCGCTGCCCGCCGCCGCCAGCGGTGGCAGCGGCTGCTGGAACATGGCCAGCACGTCCGGCGAGGCGTCGGCCCATGCGGCCGCCTGGGCCTTGGCGCGGCCCAGCAGCGGCAGCAGCATGGCGTCGCCCTCCCTGCACCAGGCACGGGATGGCAGGCAAATGCCGGGGCGTGATCGCAGGGAGCGTGGCCTAGTGCCGTCGGCGTCGCGCTGGCGCCAGCAAGGCACAGCACGCAGCATGGCTTGCAGGCACAGTCCAGACCCCCTCTATGCCTGGGGGAGGCCAGCAGGCACGCCACACCCTCGTGCTCACGTGTTGCGGCAGTCCTCGCACTGGCACACTTCCGGGTTGCAGCGCGCGCCCGCGTGGAAGCACTCGCAATACTTCTTCAGGCACTTGCTGCGCTTGCAGCGGCAGCCCCGCCGGTGGCCGGTCGCCGCGGTGACCTGCGGCCGGCGGGCCAGGTGGGGGGCCGGGCAGGGGAGAGGAGCGGCGGTGAGCTTGGCGAGGGGTGTGGGTGTCGGGCGGCGGCAGGCTGCCACGGGCCGCGCTCGGCAGGTGGGGGGGCACCAACCCCAAGGCATCCTCAGGATGCCTGCGAAAGAAAACTTGCCCACCCGCCCACCAAGCCAGCCAGCCAGCCAGTCCTGGGAAGCCAGCACCCCACCTTGACTTCAAATGCGTTTGGGTTCTTGGCGAGCACCACCTCGCGCGCCGCCATCACCACTCCCATCTCCGCCGGCGTGTTGCTGCAGCTGAGGCAGGAGCAGGAGGGGGCGCAGAAGCCGCCTGCGGGCAGGGCGTGGCAGGAAGCGGCGTGTTTGCATGTGTGGCGGGTGTGGAGACGGGACACCTGGCACCTGCATCCTGCATCTGCTGGCAGTCCTGGTGCCCCAGCATCCCTCCATTCCACTCCACGCCACACCAGCCCACCTGCTGCGAAGCACTCGCAATACATCTTCAGGCACATGCTGCGCTTGCAGTTGCAGGGGCGCTGCTCCCGCGCCTGGCTCGCGCCCAGCGGCGGCAGCATCGGCAGCGTCGCCGACTGGCGCCGCGGCACGGGCAGGGCGGGCCCCGCGGCGGCGACAGCGGCGGCGGCGGCCATCACGGCGGCATGCGCCGGCAGGGGCGGCCCCAGCAGCTGGCTGCCCTGCAGGAGGGATGCCAGGGCCGGGTCTGCGTGCGCCGCCGCCGCCTGCTGCTGCTGCTGGAGCAGGGTGGAGCCAGCGCCCGATGGCAGCCGGTCCATCCCGCCGAACAGGCCGCTAAGTGTGGCAGCGGCGTCGCCGTCTGCCCTGTCTGCTGCCACTGCTGGCCCCGCGGTGGCTGCTGCCACGTTGCTGCCGCCGCCGCCGCCGGGCCCCAGGTTGTTCAGGCTGGCAAGCACCTCTGCTGCCAGCGGCGTGGTGGCTGGGAGGCCGCCGCCGGGGGTGGGCGCCGGCGCCTTGACGGCGGTGGCGGGGCCGGTGGCTGGGACGCGGCGCTGCTCAAAGGGCGTGGCCGGTAGCCCGGCAGCCTGCAGCGGAGCGGAGCAGCGGCGTGGGAGGGAGCTCTGAGCAGGGGCCGGCAGGGAGCTGACAAAGGTGCGGCGGCAGCAGGCGCTCCCGAGCGATGCCGCACCAGCACAAACGGTACACGGGGTCGTGGCATGCCCAACCGCAGGGGCTCTCCCACCGGCCTGCTCACCTTGACCGCAGCGGCAGCGGCGGGCTGCGCCATTGCCGCCTCAGCAGCTGCCGCACCTGCAGCTCCGGGGACAGTCGGGCGTGGCGGTGAGCTTGCTGTCAGGGCAGGCACGCGGCGGCATCCAGGCGGCAGGCAGTATGAGTGGCGGCGGCCTTGCCCAGATGGGTGCTCACCTTGCATGGCCGCTCCTGGTGCGCTATGGGGGCCTGCGGCAGCGGCGGCGGGGTCCTGGGGCTGCAGCAGGGCCTCCAGCTCCTGCGTCAGGCTCATGATTGCGGCCAACTGATGGGCATCCTGCCCGCCGCCCAGCTCCTTGTGGGCAACGGCTGCCTGCGGAGGGCAATCGCATTGCATACTCAAGAGCGGAAGGAGGTGTGCAGGGTTCAAGAGGCGTTCGAAAACGGGTGTCGGTTGCCCCGGCGGTTGCCAGGCATGGTGCGTCACTGGGCAAGGTCGTATTCCCACCTTGAGCGACTCCAGCCGCAGTGCAACAGCTGCAAATGCATCCTGCATGCTGCCAGCTATTGCGGCTGGCCCAGCAGCCGGTCAGCAGCGGGCCAAGTTGTTGGGCCGGGGTTGCCAAGGCAGAGCTGGCGGGCGGGGCCAGCAAACAGTGAGGCTGCCACGTATCAGCGCTTGAACACAAAAATCAAACGCCGCCACGTTTGGATTGGGGAGCAACCGCCTGCTGGGCGCAGCAGGCCCAGCAGAGGCTGGCGTTCTCTCTCTCCCAGGCGTTCTCTTTGCGTGGATGAGGTGCTGATTGCTGTAAACCCCGTAAGGCATCGAATCACAGCGAAGACGAACGCCACTCCACCTTGCTTCACTTGACGGCGGCGGCACGGCAGTTGGTCGAGGCACCCGACAAGCATCTGTGACAGAGAGGTGTCAAGGAGAATGCTCCGGATACAGGGCTCAACAGGGCTCCCATCCTGTCACAAAGCAGCACCTTGATTATTGTTGCATTGAACCGTCCCGGGCAGGCAACTCCGTTGCAGTTGACCCGCCATCGGCTGCAAACTCATGCCACAAGATACTACAGTTCACAAGTGAGGAGTTCTGGCAAAGGAATTATTCCATGCATACACCACTTCAAACAATTTGCAGCTAATGCTAACACAGCCGAGGGCGCTTAGCTGCCACCGCATCTTCCCCCAGGTTGGAACGCTTACTCCCCGCTAGCGCATCGTGCTCCCGTGCACCATGCAAGCCGACCATGCTGCGCTGCGGTTCTTCGGGCTGCTGCTGCTGCGAGGGCGTGCTGTACGGAGGCGGCAGCAGCTGGCTTCCTTGACTCCGAGGCGAAGCGCTGCTGAGCAGCTCGGCGAGCAAGAGCAGCATGGGCTGGCCTGGTGCCCTCGTGCCAATACTGGCATCACTGCCGGACAACCGCCCTGCATGGAGCTGTTGCTGGCCAGTGGTGGTGGTGGCTGTTGCGCGGGTGCCGGTGACTGCGCTGCCAGGCACTGCCGGCGAGACCCAGCGGCCCAAGGCAGTTAGCAGATCGGGAGTGGACAGCTGCTGAGGCTGCTGCGGCTGAGGCTCAGCTGAAGCAGGGGGCTGCTGCCTTCCCGGGAGGGAAGCCGCACGTCCCATCTGCTGCAGCTGCTCTAGCCCCATGAGTTGCTGCTGCTGTCGAGCCGCCTGGAGCGGCCCATGCTGTGCCAGCAGGGCAGCCAGCAGCTGCCGCCACGTCTGCGCCTCCCCATGCGTCGCCTGCTGCCCAGCGGCGGTAGCCAGCGTCATGAGTTGCTGCAGGGTCTGCAGGGGGGTGAGGCCCGTGGGCCCGCTTGGCCCGCCATGGTGCCCCAGGCTTGCCTGTGGCACCCTGGAGGCGGCGGCTGGGAGCACAAATGGGTGCCCTGCCTGCACTTTCCGGGGCTTGGGTACAAACACACTGTGGTATGGCTCCCAGCCGCCGCTGCCTGCGCTGCTGGCAGCTGCACGCACTCCTGCCGCTGGGTGTTGCTGCTGCTGCTGCTGCTGTGAGCGTCCCTGGGCCAGCTGCTCGTGCTGCTGCTGCATTGCTGCCGCCCAGGGGGGCGCAGGGGTCTGCTGGCCTGCCGGTGCGCAGGGAGCACGCCATGGGGCCAACGAGATCGCCGGCGCACCGGCCATCCCGCTGCCATGGCGCAGGCCTGTCCAGCCATCCAGCAGGTGCGCATGCCGCTTCCAATACGCTGGCACAGTGCGCTTGAGGAAGGCCTGCGGGAGGTGACAAGGCGGGCAGGGCCGTCGACGCTGAGGGGCTGCAGATGATGGCACCGTGGTCAGGGCCAGGGGCCAGGCATCTGCAGTGCGGCAGCCTGGTGCAGCCCTCCCTCACACAGGAGGCCCATCCCCACCTCAAGCTTTGACAGCACAGGCGTCCGCTTCACGTCCTGCCAGTCAGCGGTTGGCTCCAGAAAGTCGACCTCCAGGTAGCCAACTACTCCCCTCCCCACTGCGGGCCGTGCGCCCAGGCGCGCACGCAAGCAGGCAGGCATGTCGCATGGCCGGACAAGCGGCACGGCATGGCAGGCACAAGAGCAAGTTGTTGCCGTCGGGGCGGACTTGCCTGTGGACGAGCAGTAGACTTTCCAGAAGGGCTTGACCAGGCGGTTGCTGTGGTACAGGCAGATGCCCTGCACCACTGTGTGGGGCGCATCAGCCAGGAAGCCGGTATGGACTTGGACCACGTGTTGCATCTGAAAGCCACGCTCATCCACCTTGTCCCTGCAGGGGCAGTACGAGCCAGCACAAGGAGGTGGGCAGCCTGCGTGCACAGGAGGACCGGCCCAGCGCGCACAGCAGCAGGAGACAGGGGCGACCAAGGCTGCTGGTAGCCGCCACGCATGGCTGAGGCTTCGCTGCTCTATTCAGCCGCGCTGTGGCACTGCACCTGATGCCCCGGGGGCGGTACTCTTCAATCGCCGGCCACCGCATCCAGTCTCTGCAAAAAAGAAATGCTTGGCGGCGCACAAGATCACAATGGGTCCTTGAATGGATGGGAATGCGCCCCCAACCACAGACAGTCACCCTGGAGCCAGGCAGATGCCAGCCGCAGCATTGGCCCGCCGCGCACCTGATGGGTGTGTGCTGCATGTCGCTGCCGCGCAGCCGCAGGCGGAAGCCGGCCGGCCAGCGCAGGAACAGGAGGCCCATGTAGGCACGCAGGGAGTGGCGGTGCGCCATGCAGCGCTGCACGCCGGGGTCGCCTGGCGGCGGCTGCGGCTGCTCCGGCAGCCCTGCATGGTGGGGATGGCACGCAGGTGCCCGCAGGGGTTGCAATGCTGCCCGCACCACACCAGCGAGATGCACCCCCAGCAGCATGTTGCTCGCGTGAGGCACCCCGCCCAGGTAAGGCACCAGCAGAGGGAGCAGAGCCACTGCCCACCTTGAGGTGATGGCAGCACCCCTGTGCCTGCCGCGCCTGCTGCTGCCACCTGACCCAACACATCTGCAGCTTTGAGGTCGCCGGCACCAGCCCAGTCCAGCTCGTATGCAGCAGCCTCAGCCGCGCCGCCTGTGTGGCTCGCTCTGCGCAGCTGCGCTATCAGCAGGCGTGTCCCTTGCTCCGGCATGGCATCCAGCAGCTGCTGCAGCCTGGCCTTGCTGCCGTGACTTGGCCAGAGCCGCCCGATGGCATCCATGGCAGCCTGCCACCCTACTGCAGCCTCCGAGTCTGGTGGTGCCGTGGCGGCTGCTGGCGCTGCCGCGGTCGCAGGCACGCCAGCCTTGCGTGCAGGGGCCAGCTGCTGGCTGCCATCTGCTGCAAAGTCAACGACCACCGCCTCAACGTCGCCAGCAGCACTGGTGCAGGTGAGCAGCGCAACGCTGGCACCCTGCTGGCGCCGCTTGGTCAGCACCAAGGCCAGCGATCCCAGGCGCAGCGCAGCATGCACCAGGTCTGGCAACTTGCTGCTGCCAGTGCCGCCAGCTGCCCCGGAGCTGCCGACGGTGCTGTTGGCGCGCTGGGGAATGCCAACGCTGCGGCGCAGTTGCTGTGGGGACAGGCCAGCAGCATCATCCTCCACTACCAACACCGGCAGCTGATGCTGCTGGTGCGGTCCCTGCTGCTGCTGCATCTCCAGGTCCACATGAGCGTAGGTGCCGCTCGACTGCTCGCAGCGCAGCAGGCAGCCCGCCAGCAGAGTGGCAATGGCGCTGAAGGGTGTTGGGTAGTGGCTAGGGAAAAGGGCTGGCTGGTGCGGGGGCACTGTGTCCACAGTCTCTGTTGAGCCTGCCGCTGGTGAAGGTTGCGAGGCTGTCATCGCTGCGGTGGCTGATGTGATCGGAGTATCTTGCCTGCACATGGCAGCATGGGGCACTTCAGCACCCTTGCACGAGGCGCTGCCAGAGACCAGCAGCGATCACGCTGTTTGTTGTCACCCATGTCTGCTGTGAGAAACAATGTTTCAAAAGCATCGGTGCAAGCCTGGACATGCCAAAAGAGCAGCAAGACAAAGAGGCGCCCACCTGCTGGCCGGCGTTGGCTCCTCCCGCCTGGCGGCTCCACCCGCCAAATCTCTTGCACCGCTAGTGGCAGCCATCTCGCCCCGACATCCTCCCACGGAGACATCAGGACGGGGCCCAAGGGAGTGATCCATGGCTGAGGCGCATTCTAGAGGCATAGCCATACGGGTGGGGCGCTGGACTACACTCTGCCGGCCCGCCTGGCGCCGCTACTCAGGGGTGGGGTGACCCCCACCCAGCTTACAATGCGCGTCCCTCTGCGACTCTCGTTTAATATGTACGGCACAAGAGAGGCTCGCCAAAGACAAAACTCGTCCTTGTGCGCGGGGGAACCGCAAGCTGCGCGGTAGCCCAGCCCACCGTCGGAGGGTTTTGGCTGTGCACGGTAGCGCGCTGGTCACTGTGCGACTCGAGAGAAGTTTCAAAAGCATTCACTTTGCAAGGTCCGTGGAGATTCCGAGTCACTTGGAATCCACCTCGAGAGGCTTTGTGGCATCTTTCCCGTCGTTGCCCTGGGCGGGCCCGGCGGCGGTGCACCCCTGCCATGCCATCCACGACCACCCTGAGCACTCTGGGCAGCTACATGCACAATTAAATGCATGCAAGGGGATCCGGCAGCACATCTGTGGGCTCTCAGGATTGGTGGCAGGCGGCGGTCGGGACGCCGCAGACGCTCAACAAGACCTGCACCCGCACGCAGGCAGTGCCCAAGCAACCGAGGCACTGTGCAGTACTGGTCAATCTGCACTGGCAGCAGACGGTCGCTTCTCACGTTATTCTGCAGTCTTGCGGATGGGCAGACGGCGGCGAGGCGCGCAGGACAGGCGGCAGTACCCGCCCGTTGGCGGCCAGCCTTCGATGCCCGCGTCCATCGCTGCTACTACTCTTGATCAGCATCGTGCGTTGCAATCCCCAGATCGCTGCAGCAGCTGGCATCGCCAACAAACACAGCAATTGGCAAAAGCCAACTGGGGTCGTTGCTTTTCTAGCAGGTGCTGCTAGGCGGCATCATTTGCAGAGCGATTGGACCAGGTTGGTTGGACCTGCAGCGGGGGTGGTGGCGGCCTCGCCTGCCTCCTTCTACGCCTGCCTCAGCAACCCGGCTTGTGGTCTGTAAGCGGTCGCTTCCTTGACAGGCCGCCGCCGCCCCGCCGCCTGTATCTCGCGCCTCGGCCGCCGCCACCCGCCCTGGTGCCCGCCGCCGCCACCTGCAGGCGCTCCTCGCCGCGCGCCCCGCAGCCGCAGCGGCCATGGCGCTCTGCGCCATCGTCGAGGTGCTGTTCGACATCGACGCCGGCCACGAGGTGCGCGCCGCTCCCTTCTTGCGCCCTCAGCCACCCGCACCCCGCTGCTCCCTGCTGCCCCCAGCCTGCGCCAGCCCCGACCTCGCCTTGCCGCTCGCCTCCCGTCACATGCAGGTGACGCATGCCTACCCCTCGGGCACGCTGGCCGAGGAGGAGCTGTCGGATGTGGCCTTCTGCGCCTTCCCCGACAGCATGTCGATGGAACTGCGGGGCGGCAGCAGCGTGCGTGACAGCAGCTTCTCGTTCCGGGTGCGGCGCCGCGCGACGCCGCCGGGCGCGCCGCACTCCCCGCACGCCTTCCTCTACGGGTGGGTTAGCGGGTGGTGGGGTGGGGAGGGGAGCAGCTGAGAGGGCGAGGGCAGGCAGCTGCCTGTGGGGGGGCAGCTGAGAGGGCAGGCAGCTGCCTCGGGAAGCATCAGCCATGCGTGTTTCGAGGGTGCGCAGCCTGGCCTCAGGCCTGCTCCAGCCAGCCAGCCGCTGCCAACCGCCGCGCCCCCTCCCCGCCTGCGCCCCGCCGCAGGCACGCCTTCTGCCGGCAGCGCCAGGACGAGCGGCTGCGGCGCGGGTGCGAGCAGAAAAGCATTGTGCTGCTGTCCTACCTGCCGCTGTTTGGCGTCCTGGAGCCGCTGGCTCGCCTGGTGGGGCCCACCGCGCTCAGCTACGGCCCCGATGCGCTGCGAGAGGTGCGGGGGTGGGAGGCAGGGGGTGCAGACAGCCTGCAGGCTGCGCCGGGGGTGTGGGGTGAGGCCGGCGCCTCGGCGCAGGCACTCTCGTTCGGCGCAGGCACGGCAGGCACCCCCCTGCCACCAGCCTGTCTGTGCTGCCAGCTCCCCGCCTGCTCCGCCCCATGGCCTGCCCTCCACCTCTATCGATCG